CTATCCCAACCCTGCTTTAGACCTGAAATGCAAATGACAAAGAAGAGTCAGAAATGGCTGATCATTTACTGTTGTGCTATTTTTCGTTTCTAAGATAAAGCCACTGATATTTTAAAGTATTCTGAGGAGATGGTGGATCTAATAGAGCATATGTGATCTTTACACTCTGCTGATGGCATAAACATAACAAGCATTTGTTGACAGATCTATTCTTGTGAAAAGTTGTATTTGTTGATAGGCCTGTTCCTGTAAAAAGTTTAGGTTTTGGGTATGTTGACTATTAAGGGGCAGAGGCTTACGGAAAGATTCTTTACTGAATTACTTAATTCATTAAGTAATAACTAAAGTTTAGTTTTATATATAGTGGCAGCAGCACTTCATCTTCCATTCAGTCACCCCTCAAAGTAGAAAGTGGTGTCCACTGTGTATGCTAAGAACACACTTCTCCTCTTCTGCCAATCAGCCTTGGTAAAATACTGTGGCATCGGTGTGAAAATAAGACTTGGGAGACAGTGTGTCGTTAGGGTAATTGCTCTTTTATTGAACAGGTAACAAGGGAGAACCGATGCTCAGCACTGCTGAAATGCTCCAGACAGCAGTCAGGTCACTTCTAGCCGTATAATCTCCATTCACGGTAATCACACAGACCCACACTAACTACCCCACAGCCCAAAACCACTAAGCACAATAATCACATACACACACTTCAGACTAACAGCAAGAACTTATTTACAATAAAGTTCCTCCTACTGCAATTGCAGCACCTCCCGAGAGCCTTCACGCATGGCCACTCTGCATGGCCAAACCTCCCACACTCCAACGGCAGCGTGAGCCAGTAGCGGGATGCTATAGATCTAATTAAACCAGAATAGTCTATTATTCCACAGCCTATAGCATTCAAAAACTATAAAAATACTTTTTTTTTATTTAGACATAGAGTTTAGCTTTGACAGCCAAGAGACAAAGCTATTGAGAAGTTACAGTTTCGGTCACTTGCATACAGTATATGTAATCATGTTGCTCATATTTGTGTTTACAGCTTGTTGCACACTAGAAAGGACAACATGGGGAAAGTACGAGTTGGATTTCTGGAGATAAAATGGGGTTTATTATGAAAACTTGCCAAGTTTTAATGTTCTGCTACAGCAAATGAGGCCCATGCATTAATTCCCAAAATTAATCCCAAAATTACTACCAATACCCCGTGACTAGTTGTGTTTTTGCAGTCTGTCCAAAATCCCACGCTCTCCTAAATGGTGCACGAGATAATCTATGAGATCTACACTCTCAGAAAAAAAGGTCTTCAGTACCTATAATTAGGGGATATGACTGCACTGTAAAACATTTCAATTATATTTTTTTATTTGTATTGACTGAACATGCCCAGTCTTGACATTACATCTACATTAAATTACATTATGAAAATGTACAAATATGTGCCATTCTCCTGGAAAAATCTTATTTAAGGTACACAGATGGACCTAAAAACCATTGTTTTACCTTTTACAGTGTATTTATGTTGTTTGTAGCTTGATAAACCAATATCTACCTGCACAATACTTTTTTCTGTCGGTGTACAACTAAAAATAAGTGTGTAATACGCAACATTTGGATGTATTTTTGGACTTGTACTTTAAATTTAGACTGCTATCTTGCGTCTGGAGACCACAGCGTTAGAACATCCTACATTAGCTGAAAACTTCTTCTTTATAACAACAGACTACACAGAATGTAACCTGGGTTTCCGTAATACAGCTTCCTGCTGCTTCTGGATCTTTTCCTGAATACTTACCTGGACGGCTTGACCACCTACAGAAAGAACGTGATGCTGTAGCTCCATCCTGTAGTAAAATTAAGTGGCAAGGTGATTTGTCTGTGTTTGCAAATATGTACATTTCCAGTTAATGACAGCTTTGTCAGTCTTGGTCTTCATTTAGTTCCTTCTTGATATCAGCTTCAAATAATGTTCTGCTTACACATTTTTACAATAGCTTGCAAGAAAAGCAGCCTGCATGTTGAGCTTTGTCTGGCCTCAGTTTATAACCTCAGAGCTGCTGTTCTACCTCAAAGGTTTGCTCTCTGTAGGCTAAATAAACCAGAATCTGATATCTAACGACTCCACCAGTGGAAAGAAATGGCTCAAAGCTACATGTTCACCTCTCTATAGAATCAGTGTGTGGAGGATTTACCATTAATGAGAAACACTGAACAGTTCAGTCTCTTTGTTGGGGTTAACATTTCAACACCTTCATAATCCACAGACAGTGAGGGTGACAAATTAGGGTTTCTCTTCAAACCACTCACCTTATTTATTAAAGAAATGATCCTTTAAGGAAAGTACTGTTAAAAGGAGTCTACTTTTCCACTGCAAGATACAGCTCGACTCGACTCGACTCGTTTTTGGTACCAGCTACTTTGTTTTCCACTGCAGAGCCCTCTGGTTGTTGGAGTGACGCCACATGAAACTGCCATGAAGTGAAGGAGGCAAATTTTGAAGACTGCTAAAAAAGCGAGTTTGAGAGTTCAGACAGGACGGTTCTAGGTGCTCAAAGGCGACACAAGAGGATACATTACCCTGGTAGGTAACCTTAGCATGTGTGTTTAGTGGTTCTCACGCTCTGGTATCACCTCAGCTCGCCTGGACCCTCGACTGAGGTGGTACCAAAAACAGGATCTCAAAGCTGCTGATTTGATTAGATTTGACTGAATAAGTTCTCCTGGATCTGCAGGCAGGTTGGTCAAAGTGAAGTCACCCTGTACTCCAGTATCTTTGTCCATCTTGAGAGAACGTCTGTCTGATTCAGATCAGACTGTCTGAACTGCATGAACACAACTGCCTACAGTGCAGTGAACAAGATCCATGATGGACTAAAAAGCATAGAAAAGAACAAAGAATGAGGGCAGATATGGAGACTTTTCCTTTATTTCCTTATAATTATAAAAATAATGCTAAAATACTATGACATCAAATATTTACATCACGTTACATAATTAATCAAAATTAGACCACTCACATTCATCATATATATCATATATATATTTATAAATTGTGATTTATTATGATATATATATATATATATATATATATATATATATATATATATATACATACATACATACATCATCTAAACCGCTTATCCTTCTGGGTCGCGGTGGGGTGCTGGAGCCTATCCCAGCTGTCATTGGGTGGAAGGCAGGATACACCCTGGACATATATATATATATATATATATATATATATATATATATATATATATATATAATAAAATATAATAAATCACAATTATATAATTAGCACAAACATCATTTAAAATGCAGTAAGCAACTTTTTAGAACTTTATAACTTTAAGTAAATAGAAAAGCATAAAAATATTGACATTTTGATAAATACTCCAGGCATAATTTTACACTTGTCTTTTTTAGTAAAATGAAATCATTTAGGCAATATTTTTTTTCACCCATATATTTCTAAAAGCATAGGAACACAGTACAGTTAGTCACTGAAAACCGTGTCCTCCAGTGTGACGACATGTCCTGATTTTAAATCTGCCAGTTGAAAGACATAATTCAAGGTTGTGTGACTGAAGCCCCCTGTGAAGCCCATGACATGCACATGCTATAATTTTGTTTAGATATTGAACTTTTTTCTGACCACTGAAAGTGATCAGTTTTGTTGTCCTTTAGTGTGACACCCCTCAATTATATATATGTATTTACTAAAACTGGTTGTTGAAATACTTTTTTATGAAGAATTACACAAATGAGTCTTGCTAACTGCTAATGACAGGTTAGCAGGGAATGATTTGGTCATTAACCAACACAAAAGACTGAAACGTCCTTTGGTGCGACAGAAAATGTCTGCTGGTGTGACATCACAGGTGTCACACAAGAGGACAAGGTCTCTTTGAGAAGCTTTTTAAATTATTAAATAAGATTTTCTTTCCCTTTTTTATTCTTTTTTGGACATTTGAGTACTGCAGTGGAGACACAGCTTAAATTGCTATCAATTTTAACAGTTTTAAAAGGATGACAACAAAGTTTGACATTTTTTCTAGACCACTCTTAGTCTGGATCCTCCCCCTCGACCTTTCTGTCATGAGATACTCTACTCTCCAGATACACTATATTTCCAAAAGTATTCACTCACCCATCCAGATCACTGAATTCAGGTGTTCCAATCACTTCCATGGCCACAGGTGTATAAAACCAAGCCCCTAGGCCTGCGGACTGCTTCTACAGACATTAGTGAAAGAACGGGTCGCTCTCAGGAGCTCAGTGAATTCCAGCGTGGTGCTGTGATCGGATGCCACCTGTGCAACAAGCCCAGTCGTGAAATTTCCTCACTACTAAATGTTCCACAGTCAACTGTCAGTGGTATTATAACAAAGTGGAAGCGATTGGGAACGACAGCAACTCAGCCACGAAGTGGTCGGCTACGTAAAATGACAGAGCGGGGTCAGCGGATGCTGAGAGGCATAGTGCACAGAGGTCACCAACTTTCTGCAGAGTCAATCGCTACAGACCTCCAAACTTCATGTGGCCTTCAGATCAGCTCAAGAACAGCGTAGAGAGCTTCATGGAATGGGTTTCCATGGCCGAGCAGCTGCATCCAAGTCTTACATCACCAAGCGCAATGCAAAGCGTCAAATGCAGTGGTGTAAAGCGTCACCACTGGACTCTAGAGCAGTGGAGACATGTTCTCTGGAGGGACCATTCACATTTCTCCGTCTGGCGATCTGATGGACGAGTCTGGGTTTGGCGGTTGCCAAGGAGACGGTACTTGTCTGACTGCATTGTGCCAGGTGTAAAGTTTGGTGGAGGGGGGTTATGGTGTGGGGTTGTTTTTCAGGAGTTGGGCTCGGCCCCTTAGTTCCAGTGAAAGGAACTCTTAATGCTTCAGCACCAAGAGATTTTGGACAATTTCATGCTCCCAACTTTGGGGGAACAGTTTGGGGACGGCCCCTTCCTGTTCCAACATGACTGCGCACCAGTGCACAAAGCAAGGTCCATAAAGACATGGATGAGCAAGTTTGGTGAATTAGAGCGGAGACTGCAGGCCAGGCCTTCTCATCCAACATCAGTGTCTGACCTCACAGATGTGCTCCTGGAAGAAGGTCAAACATTCCCATAAACACACTCCTAAACCTTGTGGAAAGCCTTCCTAGAAGAGTTGAAGCTGTTGTAGCTGCAAAGGGTGGGCCGACATCATATTAAACCCTATGGATTAAGAATGGGATGTCACTCAAGTTCATATGCGTGTGAATACTTTTGGAAATATAGTGTAGTTTAGCTCATGGGTCCTTAGGATCGCACAAGCCTCTCTACCGCGACAAGGTGGTGATCCACAGAGAGGGTCCATGCTTTGTGTTTCTTCAGATGATAAGAAATAACATGTTCGTAAGGAGGATAAACGCTGTGATCCGTGAGGGAGTCTGGACTGTTCCAGCATTGTTTTCTTGCATACCTGTAGAGACAGAGAGAGAAATGATCAATGATTCTGAATCATTTGAGGAAGCTAGGCAGAGGTGTGGACTTGGATCATGTGACTTGGACTCGAGTCTGACTCGAGTCACAAATTTGATGACTTCAGACCTGATTCGAGAAAATTGAGAAAGACTTGCAACTCGACTTTGACTTTAACACCATTGACTCGGACTTCAGACTTAAGACTCGGAAAGCTAGTTGTTATTTTAATCCTATGTGCCCAACGTTCCCAAAATTCATCTTCCAATGTAATTTTTTAAATTCAGTGGTTCTTCACAGGTTCTTTAGTAAAGAAAATGGTTCTAAAATTATTAAAGGGTTCTTTGCATTATGAAATGGTTCTTCAGATTGATGGAGAATGGTTTTGAAAAGGGTTCTATAGAGCACCCAAAAGTGTTCCCCTATTGTTAAAGCTTGACATCGTAACAGTAGAAGAACCCTTTTGGGTGCTCTATAGAACCCTTTTCAAAAAGGTTCTATATAGAACCATCTACAGAACATTCTCCATTCATCTGTAGAACTATTTCATGATGCAAAGAACCCTTTAATAATGCAAAGGGTTATATGAGTGTTCATGGTTCTTTTTAGAACCATTTTCTCTACTAAAGAACCTCTGAAGAGCCATCATTTTTAGGAGTGTGGTTATCTGTGTACCATGGATTTTGTATTTTGGTTGGAAGGGTAAAAATTCTTAATTGTGTATTAATATCCAGCCATACGCTGCTAACGTGCTCATTAAAAGGCTACAGTACTGTTACCTTTATTCAGTGTTTTAACCTTAAATTAGCTGAAGAACACAGACTGACTTGTTTAGGACTCAAAGATCAGGACTGCTGACTTGATTCGACTTGAGACTCACCTGTACTGGCTCGGGACTTGAATCGAGACTCGGCTATCTTGACTCAGGACTTGAGTGTGAAGACTTGAGACTTACTTGTTATTTTAGCTAGATAGTTTATACGCTGGATAGATCCGTAATACACCATCAACCTTCTTACTCTCTTTAGCACGAGTCAGACATCAGAGCAGTAAAATACTTTAAGATGCTTAATATTTCTAAAACATTTGCTTAACTATGACTGATCTTTTGGTACCAAACTACTCCATCTGTTATACAGCACTGCTGACACAGCTTCATTACTTCAGTACTGGTTAGCAAGCTAAACATGGCTAACAAAGGAGTTTCACCATTATTCACACACAGTTTACACACAATTATTCACAAAGTAGTGCATCATAAAATATCTGCATTACGACGTCTGCATGGCTGATTAGCTCACTGAATGCTCACAGCTGAAGTCCTACCTAGTCACCTACAACAAAACATTCCTGTGTGTTCAACCCTGCTGAAAAAGGACCATTAGAAACCATTAGGATTAAAACCCAATGGTTTTGCTCTCTAATGGGCATTGGCTTAATGGTTTCCAATAGAAACCATTCATTTCCTGTAGAACACCTTTAGATCCTATTAGGAAACGGTCAAATGCATATAGAATCAGCTGAAGAATCAGGCCACATGGTCACATGTTAAACCATCAGGATCCTTTACACTGTGATGTCACCCCATTAAAAAAACCAAAACATTACAAAACCATCAGGAACCAATAGACGCAATGGTTTCTTTGTTTTTTTTTTCAGCTGGGAGAACACTTCGTAGTGCAGGAATTCCACTGCTGAAATATTTGTTACTCAGCCAATGTTTGTGGGCCTGGTGGACCCACCACGTTTTTTGGGTGGATTTTTAAATCTATACAGCCATAACCACCAGCAGGCCATATAGGAGGAGGACATAGTGAAGGGGCAGAGCACCTTCACACACTTTTAATCACCACAATGTGTAATATAAATGTTTTGGGGCTTTGGGCGTGTTTACGTCACGTCTTCTTCTGTGAGTTTATTGGCTGGTTGTAAAGCAGAAATCTGATTACTGTTTGACTCATGATCAAGTGCATATAAATGTGTTGATCAGATTACTGATAAAATCTGATTTTCTGCAGTTATCGGATTATTAAGTGCATATAAACATGTTGATTGGATTACTGATAAAATCTGATTTTTTGCAGTTATCGGATTATTAAGTGCATATAAACGTGTTGATCAGATTACTGATAAAATCTGATTTTCTGCAGTTATCGGATCATTAAGTGCATATAAACGTGTTGATTGGATTACTGATAAAATCTGATTTTCTGCAGTTATCGGATTATTAAGTGCATATAAACGTGTTGATCGGATTACTGATAAAATCTGATTTTCTGCAGTTATCGGATTATTAAGTGCATGTAAACACACTCAGTGTTTCCCTGGTTGGTCTCTGCCTCGTTCTCTTACTGCCCCAGTCTAGTTTGGGTTTCTGTCTCCACTCTGTCTCCATCATATCTTCTCACTTCAGCCTGTGTATTTATTCCCCTGTGGCTGTTCGGAGTCTTATCCTGCGTCGCCTCTGTGTCCGAATATTTCTGCCATTTGAACCTCTAGTTTATATTCAGCCCTTTGTAGGTTTGTCTTCCTCTGTGTCGGTCCTTGTTTAACTTTTGGTTTCCCTTCTTCTTTTGTTTATCTGTCCTTTCTGTGGCTCTTCAGCCAATCAGTTCCTGAAAGGTTAAATGATCAGTGTGCAAATCCTCATTGCCTACGATGGTCCAGTACTATAAGCAAGGTTTTCTAATGCCAACATGTAAATACAGCATTATTAAGTCTTCAGGCTTCTGATTGGCTGTTTCCTGATTCCTCTGACTGTATCCACCCATCTTGCAGCTGGTCCTCATCTTTTACCTTCAACTGTTCTAAGCATTACTGTCTTTTCCAGTGAGTTGGTTCTTCTCAGAACGTGTCCAAAAGAAGAGTTTCAGTTCGGTTGTCTGGGTTTCCAGTGAGAGGTTGTTTTGGTCGAGGATCCATTCGTTAGGCTGCTCTACATTAAACGTTTGGGAATTTAAAAAGCTACTGTGGACCCATGTGTCTGTGCTGCCTAATGGTTTGTTAATGACATTCACTCACCTGCTGCTTCACTTTCACTGTGACTCTCCTCTGGAACATCTGTGTGGAAATAAGAAAAAACATATCGTTTATAAAAAGACCCCAATTAAAGGTTTGGTTCATCTTAACCTGAATTACAATATCAAATTCCATGAAGGCACAAATGATTCACTGTATAACTCTGACTGTAGTTTAATCTCCTTACCTTCTACTGAGAGCTCCACACTCTGGACTAGAACCCTTTTAGAACTCAGAGCTCCCTTCATTTCTCTCACAACAAGGAAGCTTTCATAGACTCCTTCATCCTCAGGTCTGACGTTCTTCAACTCCAGTGAACAGTCCCCCTTCAGCAGGTGATCTTCAGGAACGTCTACACAGTCTTCATACCCCTCACCCTGATACAGCTCCCCACCCCTTCGCTCAAACACTGTCACAGCAAAAGTAACCCACAAAACATGGAGAGATTGGCTGGCTGACTCTGTGGTGGCTTTACTTCTCCAGTCACATGGAAGAACAGCTGAGGAACCCACTGTAGCAGACATGAAGACTGTGGATTGTGCAGCTACAGAGCCTGGATAACACATAAAACACAAAACATTTAAAGGATATTTACATTAGTATATTATATTAGTATATATATTAACATACATAAAGCATCCTCCCAATATTAGACCAACCATTTGCACAAACTAGTGTATCTAAAAAGGAGGTGTGTCTGCAGATTCTGTGAGAAACTGAAAGTGAGTCTCCTGAGAAGAACAGAAGCTGGAATAAAGGGAAAGAGTGGACATACAATACATACCAAGAAAAATTTATAGTTAGTTGTTGTGTTTTCTTCCTTTTGTGATTCTGAAAGTTTAATAGTTTGTACTTATTGGCTGTCTCGACTGGTCTCTGGCTTTTGTACAGCTTTATGTGTTCAAAGTACTATAAAGACTTTACACAATACTGTAGAAAAGACTTTACACAGTACTGTAAAAACATTCCACAATACTGTAAAGACTTTACACAGAACTGTAAAAGTTATAAATATATTATAGATGAATTTTAGACTGCAGTCTCTTTTATATAATGGCCACTAGTTGGTCACTCACCTGCACAGGTGGCCAGCGACAGGACGAAAACCCAAAGGTAGGAGCTCATGATCAAAACTGGAGGATTCACTGATGAAGTGAGAAGAAAAGTGATGAGTTATTAACTATTATAATGATTCAACACACAGTCTGGTGGATCCACATCCCAGCAGAAAACAAGGGAAAAACTGTGTGTGATTTTTTGATGAACCGTTTCTTTAACACTGTAATTGACCTCCATTCTAAGACCAATAAGTAAATACTTTAAAACTAATAATAAACCATGTAGTTACTATTAAACATCAAAATCTCAAGAAAAAAGTCTGAGATATTAAGTCAATATTTCGAGAAAAGCTGTCATATAAGTCAGTAGAGAGAAAGAGAGAGAGAGGGGGGAGAAAGAGAGAGGGGGAGAGAGAGAGAGGGAGAGAGAGAGAGAGAGAGAGAAAGAGAGAGGGAGAGAGAGAGAGAAAGAGAGAAAGAGAGAGGGGGAGAGAGAGAGAGAGAAAGAGAGAGGGGGAGAGAGAGAGAGGGAGAGAGAGAGAGAGAGAGAAAGAGAGAGGGAGAGAGAGAGAGAAAGAGAGAAAGAAAGAGAGAGAGAGAGGGAGAGAGAGGAGTCGTGTTTAATATGAGCTCTTAAAACCTTTATGATTTTTCATTTTAAAATGAGATAAATCACAGAAAACAAACAACATATAAACAAATTATCAACAGTAAATGTGAATTTGAACTGGTGTTAACGTAATTAGACACAAAAACAAAGAAAATAAATAACAAAAAGAGACAAGCTAAGCTAGGAGAACAGCTGTTAGCCGTTAGCCGTTAGCACAAGAGACAAACGCACCAGGACCAGGATCAGGAAGAAAAAGACACCAAGGCAGGGAGGATAGGAGACAAAAGAAGAGAAGCTGAACAGGGACCTACAAACCTACTGGAATAAACTTAAAGATGTTTTAAGGAACAGCAGAGGAAAGAAACAGGGACTAAACAGATAGAAAACAGGAGCGGAGTGACGCCCGGAGTCTGAACTCAGACAGCCCCAGAACTCTGCCTCACATTAGGGGTGGGAAAAACATTTAAGAACACCAGAAGAGACTTATAGACAGTAGAGCTTAATACCATACGGTTGTAGGTAAAATACAGAGGAAAAGAAAAAGATAAACTGACCAGACATTGCTAAATGCGCTAAGTTTGCTGAGGCTGCTAATCTAACAGTTACTGTAAACCTCCTCTGATTGGCCGACCGAGCTGCTGGCATTTTTCAAAAAATTGCTACACTGTATTACAATAGCAGCAGCAGCTCCACTCTCCCGTGCTTTAGAGTTCCCCACAGAGATCCGCTCTGAGAGCAGCAGACAGCAGCATAAACAGAAAACACAGAGAGAAAACCCGGAGACTCTGTTTAAAGACTGCAGCATAATCAAAGGGAAAAGAGCCACCACCAACCTGCTCTTTTACACTGAATGCAATACAGCATGGCATTCAGCTATACGGAAATACTTCACACACACCTCAAAACGAGGGATCTGCAAAAGCCGTCAAATATATATTTTTGAGGATGCGGAAAAAGACTCTGAAAATCAGCTTCTAACAGTGAATTTATACCAGAACGGTACAGTGATGGTGCAGGGCAGCGAGGAGGCACTGCTGAAGTTTGAAGGGGCCTTTCCCTGTCTCACAGCTCTAGCTGAATGTGAAAGCGCAGAAGCCCACAGTCCAGCCCCCACGCCTGAACCACTACAAGCTGAGAGAGAAACAGAGCCCCCCCAACACGGTCTCTGTAGAACACAGCACTGCTGAGATCAGGAACAGCCTCTCCCTGATAGAAGTAGAGCTTGTGGAACACCCACATCAGTACCAGCACAGACATGAGCTTCCTCAGGGACCAGCTCAGCCAGACCACAAACCAGCTCAGCCAGACCACAAACCAGCTTAGCCAGACCACAAACCAGCTAAAGATGTCCGTACAGGAGCTGAAGGGAGACATAGAAAACCTAGACATAGAAAAAATGCAGACAGAGACACCCACTAAACAGCTGAACACCCCCCCCACACACTGCTTCCCAGCACCACTCAAAATCTGCCCATCACACAGCAAGACCATCTTGAGCCGCCCTCTGAAACACCTAGAGCCCCGACCAAAAAGGTGAGGAACCCTACAGCAGAGGAAACAGCAGAAACAGCAGAGCAGCACAGCAGCAGACTGTCTACAGGAAAAGACACTGATGTCGCTATTCTGATCGACTCCAACTGAAAGTTCCTACAAGAGGACAAGCTCTTCCCAGGTCAAACAACATCGAAAATATGGTGCCCAAAAATAAGAGATGCCCACAGAATACTCTCTGACCCCAACCTCGGCACTCCCAAATACATGATTATCCACAGTGGCACCAATGACCTCAGACTAGAGCAAGAGAGAGTCGGAGGACTGGTGTGCAGAGTAGCAGAGAGAGCTGCTGAATCCTTTCCTAACGCCAAAATTATCATCTCCACCCTGCTGCCCCGCAAGGACTTCCACCCTACCACTATCCAGAGGGTCAACGCAGACATCTCTAGAGGATGTGCCCTCCTGCCCAATGTGCACCTGGCCCACCACTCCACCATCACCCCCTACCACCTTTACGACCATGTGCACCTAAACAAGCACATGATAAAGGAATTCGCCAGAACACTTAAAGATGTTGCACACGGCAGGCGTTCCTACACAGTACAGCAACACAGAGCAGAGTCCCTAAAACCCCAGCAACACCGCCACAGATATGCAGCCGTCAGCCCAGTCATCTATAAACACTTCCTGAGAGGTCGACACCTGCCAGGACAGCGCAGTCCACCTCAGCCTACACATCATGTCCCACCAACTGGACCAGCTCACCCAGTGACACTATCTGGACCAGCACTACAGCCCCATCCAACCACACCAACTCGCAATATATTATCATCTGGACTAGCTCAGCGCCCACCACCAACCAGACCAGCACACCAGCATCAATCCGAACCCACACCTCGAGCAGCCCCTCTTTCCCAGGACAGCGTCCTACAGCGCAGCTACGCTGAAGGCCTCCAAACTCCACAGAACTTTACACAGATGAGTGAAATCAAACAGCTACTAGAATACATCTGTACAAAACTAACATAATATGTAAATACCACATAATTTATGTCTCAGATTTAAAGCTAGGTGTTATGCTTTTATTATACTGTTGTTTCATGATCTAAAACTTTTAAGAATTTCCTAACATAGCTACTACTCGCTTATCTATTGCACATATGAAATAACAAACATTACATAGTTATATATTTGAAGTTGATATAGTTTTCATTGTTTATCTCATTTTAAAGAAAAAAAGGGACTGACCTATGAACATGGCTTCACTTTCAATTAGTATGTGGAACATTCAAGGTCTAAACTCCTCAGTCTTTGGACTAAAAAGTCTAAACAAAGATTTTCAATCTAATATCAAAAACACTGACATTGTTATTTTACAAGAGACATGGTGTAGGACTGATACGGCCACTCACTGTCCCCGTGGCTACAGAGAAATTATCATACCTTCCCAAAAGCTGAACTCAGCTGAAGCGTCAGGGCAGAGACTCAGGAGGAATAATCATATGGTACAAAGAAAAAATACACAGCTTTTTAGATACAGTGAAAGTTGGAAAATACCATATTTGGTTTAAAATTAAAAACCTTCTGCTCACCTCTTGGAAACAGTACAGTAGATTATATGATAACAGATTTAGACCCTTTCTCTCTCAGTGCATTCACTGTTAAAGCTCTAACCCCTCTGTCCGACCACAGCCAAATCACTGTGTTCATTAAAAGGACAGAGACTTACAGCACTGCACACACTCAGCCCAGTGAGCTGTACAGCATCAGGAGGCCATACAGATGGGCCCAAAACAGCACAGAGGAGTTCCAGAAAGCAATCAGAGACCCCCAAATTCTAACACTTTTAGACAGCTTTCTGGACACCACACACACTCACAGTAAAGAAGGTGTCAATCTGGCAGTAAAACATATAAATATGATTTTTGACAAAACTGCAGAAAAGGCTAAATTGAAATTTAAAAAGAGATCAAAACACAAACTCAGAAAAGAAGACAATTGGTTTGACCAAGAGTGCCAAAATATGCGAAAAGAACTATCAAACTATCAAATCAGAAACATAGAGATCCAAATAATGCACACATACGCCTTCTTTACTGTGAAACACTAAAACAATATAAACGTACACTCAGAACAAAAAAAGCTCAATACACCTACAAGCAACTGACACTAATTGAGGAGTCAATCAGAACAAACCAATTTTGGAATCACTGGAACAACCTGAACAAGAAAGACTATGAACAATTGGCAATTCAAAATGAAGACATATGGGTAAGTCATTTCCAAACACTCTTCAAGAAGATAGAAATTAACCCAAACTCTGAACAAAATGACATAAAAAGAAAACTCGAGAATCTAGAATTGACTATTAAAATAACCAAAACCCTTTAGACTCCTCAATTACTGAGCAAGAGCTTAATGATAAAATTAAAACACTAAAACCAAATAAAGCCTGTGGGCATGATGGCATCCTAAATGAGATGCTAAAACATACAACTTCTAAATTTCAATTAGCTATTCTATAATTATTTAATCTGGTTCTGAGTGTAGGTTACTTCCCTGAAATCTGGAAACATGGACTAATAACCACAATCTTTAAAAGTGGAGATAAATTGGACCCTAATAATCACCAAGGTGTCTGTGTGAACAGTAATCTGGGGAAGTTACTGTGCAGCATTTTAAATTCTAGATTTCTAAACTTCCTTATGGAGCTCAGTGTCTTGAGTAGAAGTCAAATTGGATTTTTACCAAATTACCGCACCGCTGATCATATTTACATCCTACACACCCTAATTGAAAAGTTTTTGCATGTTTTATTGATTTCAAAAAGGCTTTTGATTCTATTTAGCACCAAGGATTATTCTATAAACTTATAGAAAGCGGTGTAGGGGGTAAAACATATGATCTAATTAAATCAATGTATACAGGAAATAAATGCTGCATAAAAATTGGCAATAAACAAACAAATTCCATCTCCCAGGAG